GAGAGGGACCACAGTCTGAGACGATGTCCTTCAAGACTGATGAGGGAGGTAAGAATGAGAAAGAGAGGAAAAATTGGGGGTGGAAGAGGGAAGGTGATAGATAAAGTGTGTGAGGTGGTTGTAATTATAGATAGGGAGAGACAAAGATGGGAGGAAGGAAGGAATGAATAGTGGATTTCAAAGAGGAAATGACACTATCCAGAGATTGAGTGGGTGGAGAGCCGTGAAGAGAAGGAGGGTGAAATTGATGCAGGGATAGATATTATTGAACAGGCAGTTGTTGGGAAAGAGGTGACAGTATAATTTAATAATCCATTTTAATCAGGTATGTTTGTGTTGCTGCTAGTTCCTCGTCCTCCCATGTCCCTAATGCTGGACAGCCCATCAGAGACAGAAATGACCCTCCACTGGACGCCACCTGCTCAGCCCAATGGAGTCCTCATTGGATATCTACTGCAGTACCAACAGAGTGAGCATGGTTTACACACCTATCTCACAAAATACCCCACCATCAGGCACATCAATTGTTCCGTTTAAGAAGTGCTTCTATGCTGCAGTAAAAACATCACGAATGTAACCACGCAATACATTTCCAGCTAAATCAATAACACTGAAAAAGGTCAAAGCATAGCCTCCTAATGATGCTCATCAGTCAGTCAATGTGTCACCCATAACGATGTGTTGAAGATCAAGTTGTGACTGAATGTTTTTTTCTGCTGCGATGTGCTCAGTTGTGGAGAGTGATGACAGCCCCATGCAGGTAGAGACAATAGAGGGCCCCGTAGTCACCCACCTCACCCTGAGGGGCCTGGACCCCCACAGCCAATACCGCTTCTTCCTGAGGGGGCGCACTGACGCAGGGGACGGAGAGCCCATCATGAGGGAGGGTGCCACTACGCTGGATGGAGGTACAAAGCCGATTCCCAGAGTTCTTCACCCTCACAGATCTGTCACAAACAGGATCAGATTGTACTAGATTAAGAGTGTGATTCCTCTGTCTGAATGTTTGCAGCACCTCCTGACACCATTAACCTGTCTCCTGGAGAAAACTTAGTCAACCTCAGCTGGGTGGCCAAGAAGAGACACAGGAACTTTAGCTTCCAGATATACTACCTCAACACAAATGGTATATTTTCTACTAAGTACATAATGGAAATCCTAATTATAGTCAACCTTTTAAAACCACAAATCTAGCTGGGGAATAGTTTCACAATCCTAAACAATAGAAAGGAAATCAAAGTCCTTGTTATGTCTCTGCAGATGGCAGTAAAGAGAAGAAAACAGAGAAGATAAACTCCTCACAGTCTTTCTACCAGCTCCAGGGCCTGACTCCTGGCTCTGATTATCATCTACGCTTCACCTACAGCAACATCACCTTCTGGAAGACTGACATCAAGACAGACGGAACAGGTACTATGAGTGTTCCACCTTCATTCATCCTCTTTTCTTTCATCTTCTCGGCTCGCTCCTCTGGGCTTCCCAGATCTAAATATATAGCCTGATCCTACAGAGAGTGCCTTGCAGTTCTCTCCACTGCCTGTGAAGTGCTTTCAAAGACTCTTGTGAAAGGAAAGCTTGGCTAGCCATATGCAATGATCCATTACTTGTGTTTGTTTGGCGTATTGTGCTGTATTCTTTGGTTCCCGAGTGTGCATTGCCACCCTGTCAAAATACATATTGCTGTCTCTTTCGCTCTAGATTCTTCCTGTTTTATCTTGCTTCTCCTACGGTTTTCATTCTTTCCGCTCCTCTTGTAATTTCATCCAGTTTCCTCATTACAAACATATAACTCAATTCTCCCCACCTCACTCGTCTTTTCTCTTTGAAGGAGTAACAGAGGTGCAGCCCAGTTTTGCAACGCAAGGCTGGTTCATCGGTGTAGTGAGCGCCATCGTGCTGCTTCTGCTGATACTCCTTATCCTCTGCTTCATCAAGAGGAGTAAAGGGGGGAAGTATTCAGGCAAGTGCAGCCCACCGAGATGAGTGTTAAGCATTCAGTAGGGATGATGAAGTGTTCTAGAAGATGGTTGAGACCGTGAGCAACTTTTTTTAAAGAATGCACGACATCCAGTCCTTCGTCTCAGCCTGTCTGCAAGAACAATACAATGTTAGACAACTGCTATGTCACACTCTACACACGCTTTGTGGGAGACACTGAACAGTCTGCTGGAGCCATAAAGCTGTCTGATAATGAAAATGGCATTGCGGTAGAAAAAGAAGCCTGGCAGTTACAGGAATGCACCACAGTAAACAAGGTCATTCTTACTGGAAACACGACAGTAAATTAAAATTGCACCATGTTTAAAATTCTTAGAGCGGCTCCATATCCAAATAATTGATCACTTCTTTTCACTTGGCCAACATTTTCCGTTGCAGCTTTCACATCAAACTTGTAGTCAAACAGACCTCTAAGCCTGCACTTCCTTACTGTGGCAGTAAGAGGCTCTGCTGTGAAATGATAATCACAAACCACTAGAGTAACTGCAACCTGCAGGCTACTGTCTGACTGGTCAGAGAAAAGCACCAGCCTTTCATCCCTTTCCACATGAGGGAGAAACAAGTGGCTGGCTCCTTTTTAAAGTAGACTTAATTGTCTCTGCTAAAAGCAAGGACTAATTGAATAATACATCCAACCATACCCACTGGCATTATACTTCTGAGCGAATAATTATTTAAATTGTTCAGAATTTTAACAGTAATATTCAGAGTGCTATCTGTTATGTTGAAAGTCAGATGAGAAATTACGTCGAACATCAACACTTTAAACTACATCGATAAAAAGATTCTGCGTACAGATAGTCCAAATCTTTTTGCTCCACAGACACAATCTTTTTTTTTTCGTTGGGTGTTATCTTGTTGTGTGACAGAATGTCATTATCGATGTCTGAGACAGTGGTTTGGAGAGAAAAATGGTTGAGATCTCACTGATAATAACATCCAATAATCTCCTTCACAGTGAAAGATAAAGAAGAGGGTCCGATGGACTCAGAGGCACGGCCTATGAAGGATGAGACTTTTGGAGAGTATAGGTTTGTCATCTAAATGCACATCCTCTCTTTTTTGGTGTTACATTATGTTTCTACAGATCATTTCAATTCTAACACCCAGCCTTGATTCCATCAGCATTGTTTGCTTTTCCTAACCCTGTGTGTTCCTTTCGGTTGTCCCTCTTCTCCCTAATGCCTGCTCCTGCTATGCAGATCTCTAGAAAGGTATGCTGTGAGGTGATTTGTTATCCCAAACCCACTTTCTTTTAATAATCCCTGCCAATGCTTTACTTACCTAATGACTTCCGTGTAACATTTGGTATAATCACAGAGAGTGTATTATTTTGTATATGGCCTGCAACTAACAATTATATTATACTTCATATTAATGTGTGATCTGTAAAACATTAGCAAGCAGGCAAAAATGCCCATCACAATATGCTATAGCCCCGGGGGACTTCAACAAAAGCTTTGTTTTGTCCGTCCAACAGTCCAAGAAAAATCGCACATTTTCACATTTTAGAACCTAGAACTATCAACATTGGATATTTTGGCTTACTTAAAAGCTGAGTCGATTATCAAGATAGTCAATCGACTAATGGTTTCAGTTTTATGTATTTTCAGCTTGCATGTTGGCGTATGTTGGACTGAATAATAATTAATGATTTGTTTTACCGGCCATATGATAATATTTCTTGCTTTCACTCCTTCTGTGCTCTCACATACTGTAGTGACCTCGAGGAGAAGCGCACGGCCAGCCTGCCATCCCTCGGCGAGGAGAGCAAGCTGTGCAGTGAGGACAACCTGGACTTCAACGGCAGCAGTGCCATGACCACCGAGCTCAACATGGATGAGTCTCTGGTTAGCCAGTTCAGTCGGCCCAGCGAGGGTCCAGAGGCGCTGCAGGGCCTGCCAGACAACTCCCCGCTCAACCCCACCGCCGTCTCCCCAGCCACCAATGGCATGCCCAACTCAGTCACCATCCTCGATTAACCCCACACATCCACCGGGGGCCATTCGACCAAAACATGTCAACACATATGTGCCCATACATTCCTGTTCCCTACTAACTTGCTGATCTGTAGTTTATTGACTAATATACAATCAATGTATTGACTATTCAGATGCCCCTGGCAGTCATCTGATCGACCGGACTGTTTTGACCAAAGGAGTGTCCAAAGTAGTGGACAATGTGATACAAGTTTGACTGACCTGAAGATGTCTTTTGACCCCCCCCCCACCCTGCTTTTATCTGTGTAGTTTACAACATATCTTTATGACTAACTTTCATTTCCCTCCCTTTCTTCTCTTTATATCTCTCCACACACAACTCTATAGAAAGATAAAGACAGAATGATGTACAGGTAGAAATATCAGAGGGTTTGTAGGTATGGTCCTATAGAGATGCAGAGTAGTGCATTGAAAGAGGATGACAGAGGGGTCTAGCATGGGGGAACAGACAGCACATGCTGCTGTAAAAAGTCTTAGATATTTATCATGCCTTATATTATTTAACACATTTGTATGTCTAATGACATTTGATGTCTCAGATTGTACTTGCCAGTGACATTTTTTTAATTTTAACAAATGTGTTTGAATACAAAACATCCTTTTTTTATTACCCAATTTTTATTTACATCATCACTTTTTAATATTGTTTTCTACACTATTTATATAAAAAAGCCCATGACTTTTCTCAGTTGACATATTTCACAGATCATGACGTTTTCATTGAAACTAAGTAAAGCCAAGTTTCTTACCATAAATAACATTGGATGCATTATGGGAACTTGCTGTGAACCTGCTGAGTAGCATCTGGTGTATATAGCTGCATCTACATCTATCTATTTAGCCATAATACAGTATTATAGATATGTACATGCTCCTTATAAGTTCCTGTGCCTGCTGGGTCTGCATAGAGCACCAGATTGATGTCATTACTCTCTCGCCTTCCCACCAGAAGTGTAATGTCATTATTGGAAATGATGTTGTAATTTTTTGTGTCGAGACCTTTGTGTAGCTTTCTGTATCTGTCTGTGTCTCTTTCTACACTGTATTAAAAACATTGTCGTCTCTAATTAACAACTTTTCAGACCTGTCCATCTCATATTTCACAAACCGTTTGAGGAGCAGTATTTATGTATATGTACAGATCAGAGAGTGGAGTCTTGTGGGCAAACACTCATGTTTTATTTTCAGACCTTCATCAATGCAAGTTGATATTGCAGACAGGCGGAATGATTGCCAGTTGATGTATAATAAAAGCAAGCAGTTGGTATTTACATCAAACACAGAGAATGTATTATTTTCAGAGCTGGGCAGACATTGTATTTACATGCTACTGATTAAAAACAATCTGAGATACAAAGTACTGGAGTGGTTTTGAGTATAACTGTTTTTTTCTCCACAGAATGTAAATACCCTTATAAGATTGTTTTGATGAACCCAACTGTGTTTGATATAAAAATGTGATAAAAAGTTTGAAACCACTTAACTTAATTTTAATTATTGCAAGTTGTCATTTTTCCTCTTTTGTACTATTGCTATAAAATATTTTACTATATTTACTATTGCTATAAAAACTTTCCATTAATGACAACTGGTCGCAGTGATATCTGGCTGTTTTAGCAAAAATTTGTTGACAGGAAAAAAATCAAAAAGGTAAAAAAAAACAAAAAACAATGCAAACATTTCAAAACTCAAAAAAATGTCCATTAGTTGCACTTAGTGAAAGTAGTAGTTCCATTAAAATGAAAGCTATATGCATTCATGTCCATAACCATCTTGCAATGAATTGCAGCGCAGTGAATATCTGTGGAGTTTTTGTCTGATGCAGCTATGAGAGGCGGGGATACAGTGAGCTGGTTTGTGCATACCACAGGGAGTATCTATGTGCAACCTTGCTGCCTCACTTCTCCCTATTTAAATAAAAAGCTTCACACTGGCCAAACTCCACCTGACAACCCCTGTGGTAAAGTGTATGGGATGTCTTAACAGGCTAGTGACACTGAAGGAGGTGTGTGTAAGCTCCCTGTTGTTGGTTCCACTGACACACTCAGGACAAAAAAAGCTTTTGAAAAACTATTTTCATACAGGAGCGATGAATGGCGCAAAATATGCCAATATTCTGACTTAACTATCTGCTGCTAAACATCTGTGTTTGTCAGTGTTCGGGGCAAACGTTAGCTTTGAATGAGGAATGAGTGTACACACACAGATACTCACTCGACTGCCACTCACTCTTTGCTTTTCATGTGTCGAGGGGAAGGCTGAGGACACTGGTCTTTGCTTTTCCACTGTTGTTTTCCCCCCTTTTTTAATGTGTAAAAAGAGAGAACTGGTTCATTTTCAGAAGGTTCTTCAGAACTCAGAAAAAAACGGACTGATTTTAAACAACAATGCCTGAGTGGGAGGGGAGGGGTAAGCGAAAAAAAGGGAGAGAAGAAGGGAGGAAGTAGTGGAAGTGTGTGTCACGGCGGGGTGTAGATGTGACTCTTTGTGTTGTGTGCTGTGCACAATGGGACTGATGGTATCTATATGGATCATGGGCGAACGACAGGAGGTGGGTGGACGTGTACTACACGCCAATATAACTGCAATATGAATCTACTACTATAACTGGTGTTATGACATGAAAAATAAAATAAGTGGAACAATCTGAACCAAACAAACAAAAAGGGTCTCTTCTGTTTTATCAGTATCTGTAGATAAAAATCAATGCATGTGCATCACTTCAAAATGAGCAGGATGTATTGATTAAACAACATTCAATTTATATTGAGTGTGAGTATAACAATCAATAGATTTTATTAGCACATTGTCACAAAGGGACAAGCCTGTGTACGGTGTGTGGTGGTCAACGGGAGCTGGTGTTGAATTGATAGAAGTAGTCCTTGCTGGGTTTGTTGGTGTACAGCTTCTTGTTCAGGTACTCCTGGCTGGGACACAAAGAGACACACACAAACACACAGTGAGCAGCTGTTCCCAAAAATGGTTATTTAAATCTGAATCCTACATTAGAGTACTTTATCACCGACACCCAAAATACATTTGCTGACTAGTGCATGAATAGTCCGTGCTCACTGTGCCTGTTGCTCTCTGGCCAGCTGCATGTTGTAACGGTCTGTCTGAATCCTCTTCTCTGTCCTCAGCTCTTCTGCTCTCCTCTCCTCCTCCTCTGCTTCTCTGGACAGCTTCAGGAGCTGGAGCTCCCAAGCTGCGTCCTGAATCTTCTCAGCTTCACGTTGTCTCTGAAGATGGAAAGAAAAAAAAGGTCCAAATGGTAAACCTGAGTGGAAGTGTTATATGGAATACTGCATTTAAAAACGTCCTTTCTTATGTTTTCTTTTGAAGGAGTGGTTAGGGACCTGGAGTTTAGCACAAGACTCAAAATCTGCATAATAAATTGGAGGAGTTCCAAGATGAAGATTTCTCATTTTAAAAATTAGTTTTATACTTTTTTGAAAATGAATAATTACCTCTCTGGACACGACTTTTAGACATATGCAACATGTGTTTATAAGTAGACAAAAAGATGGATGACAAATTAAGGGGAAAACCCCGGAATAGATTAGTAGAAATATAATGAATTCAGATCAAAGCCAAAAAAGTCACTGTATGGTTTGTTGATTTTGGGAAATTTTAGACAAGCAGGTTAAACAGAGTGAATACATTTTGGAAGAATGGTGTTCCTCCCTCTGATAAGAAACTTTCTTTCAATTTGTCACCCGTCAGTGATTTAATGTTAAGGTGTCACAAGACAAAAGGTTGGGAACGACAGTTTTGAAATTTCTTTGCAGAAAGACAGAACTGAAGAGGAGCATGGAGCAAAGCAGGATGTGACTTGACTGTGAATTGCTGTGTGTGGTAGAGTTGCATTGTGTTTTAGAGTCACTCCAGTACCTGTCTCTCAATAAGCTGTTCTTCTCTCTCCCTTTGGATGGCGCTCAGTTGCACAGGGCTCATACCTTTCCATCTGTCTACCAGAACCGGTGGCAGCCTCCCTCCTCCCACCTCTCTCGCCGCTGCCTCTGCACACTCTGTCATCAAGTCGGATGTCAGAGTGTGCCGCATCTCTGCAAGATTCTCCCTTTCTTCTCTCCTGTGCTGCTCCTTCAGTGTCTCTGTCCGCTCTGCAGCCTGTGGGGAGCAGGACATGGTGAGGCCTCACCACTGATGTAGGGACAGTTGATTGATCATTCCCTTGGTGTTTAGAATAGCAGGAGCTTTCTGAAACCCAACCTGTAATATGTGGTTACTTCTAACATAGAGCCAAGAGTCAGCCATATGGTGAATATCCTCCTGAGAGATCCACTCAGTCAGTTGTATTTGCGTGTGCATTGTGCATGAGAGTGGTTATTAGAGAAACCACATAATTGTCATGGAAAAATACCATGAAAGATTTATAATGATGCCTCCCAATGGAGGATTCAGCCGAGTGCGTTCAGGCAAATGAGGAGAGCGCTAAATGGGAGCTTTTAAAAACAGACAGGGCCCACGCATACATCAAAGCAGTTTAACCATCCATGTTGCTTGGTACCAACTAATATGATGGCCACCCTCCTGCAGCAAGTGTGTGTACGCATCACTTAACATTTTCAATTAGCAATTTCAATTTTAAAATCCCACCTGAGAACACCATGTCAGGGCTCAAACCCCCAGTGGATTTTGCTTTGAGCCTCCACATCAGCATGTGGTGTGTGCATCTGTGTGTCCATCTGTATGTGCGTTGTGCACACGTGTGTACTGTACCAGAGCTTGATTGTAGTTGTCGAGTGCGATGCGGGCAGCTTTCTTACACTCCTCCTCTAGTGCACGTAGCTGAAGCCCCGTACGGTCCTGATGCACCAGCTCTTTGCTCGCCAGCATCTCTGTGACACACACACGTTGTGTTTTTTCACACCTGCCATTGCCCAATGTACAAAGCTCTTCAATGACACACTCACACATTCATAACGGCTCTCTGGGATAAGCATCCATCAATGCCACCTGGCAATAAGGGCTGTGCATGCGTAGGAGTGTGGGATTGTTTGTGCAGGAAAGCATGAAGCATGTGTGGGATTTACAGAGGCTGTAGCATTCAGCATATTAGCTCACCAGTGATAACAGAATGTGTTTGCTTGTGTTTGTCTCTTTTCACCTCGGTGCTTGTCTCCCAAGAGCCTTCTCTCATTGTCCTCCTTCTGTGCTCGCAGATCTCTCTCTGCCTTTTTCATTTGTTCTCTTCTCCGCTGCTCTTCTCCGATATCCTCTCCCTGTATGAAACAAGAAAAGTGGTTAAGGGGGTGGTAACGCCATTATTTATTTAATCATTTGCTGGATTTTGTTCGATAGGTTTTTGATCCACACTAAGTTCCTACCGGAAATATTTTCATACTGGCGGGCCCCAGCTCAGCCTCTGGAATGGTGATACAGAATGCCCCCTTCAGGCCACACTTGAGATCAGCATCGCTTGAATCTTCTACACGTTGATGAGTGGCCCAGTACTGGGTCAGGTCAGTGTGCAAAGCTGCTTGCTTCTCTCTTTCATCAATGTCTTGATGAAGCAGTGCTTCATCGTGATATTCTCTCAGCTTATCTGCAATGCAATGAAAATAAAGACACTTGTGATCAATGCTCATTGGTGGTGAAAGGGGATTTCATAAATGGAGATTACCTAAGACAATATTCTTACAGGGGATTCAGTATTAATAGGTGAATAATTGTTGTGTTCAAATGATTTAATTCTGGCTCTCATGATGCCCATAGTTTACCAAAAGCTTTGTCCCGTTGTTTCTCCATGTTTTGCTGATGTTTTTTCTCCTGGACCTGTTGGTTGAGAGCATCAAGGTCGAGGCCCAACACACGCAGCCTTGTGTTGAAGATCCTGGCCTTGCGTGCTGTTTCTGCAGACCTTCGCATTTCCACAGCGTTTTCTATTGATGGGTCTACAGGCAAATCCACTTTGTACATTTTCTCAGTTTCTAATGAACACGGAGGGAGGAGACACAGTATTGCAGCACTGATTATTATATGCTGGAAAGGAATAGCTGTGTTAAAGGAACCATCAGACCCTGATGTATTCATTTTACTGCCATTTAATCCTATCCAGTCTGAAACCTAGAGGTTTCGACTGTATTGGATGCATGTCTCTAAATTCGCAGACAGAACTAATGAATGTTAAGCAGTACTTACCTCCGATGTAACAAATTTACCCAAAAATTTCCTTAATTTTGTGATTTAAGGCCGGTGTAGCGCTAACTGCTGGGTCAGTCTGTTTCGACAGTTTTATCCTGTTGTTTGAATGCCCTTAGTAACCATGGTAACACGGTATTTGCAGCGTCATGCTTAGTGTTTTGGTGACATAAATCATAAAAGTGAACCAAACATTAAGGCTTGCTGAAACTAACATAATGTGTTGTGTAACTCAGATAGGCTACTTTACCGTTAGTGGTGGAATAAAGGGGCACAATACTGTAGTCATGAGAACAACTCCGTTAATCTCGCGATAAACTGTGAGGTTTCGTGTCTCGCGCGCTCGAGGGTCTTCCTGTGAGATTGTAAAATGGCGCATTGTTGTCACCGCCGCATCGCGTCTAATTGTTTAAGATTATGAAGCTATTTAGATTATTAAACTAAATATGCACTTCATAATGTGACATGTGCATAGGCCAGCAATAGACTGAACAGACTGGTTCATTCATTTGCGTGCATACATCGTCTTCGACATCGCTTGCTCGGTAAACATCGGTTGATACCATTAGCTAGCTAGCTAACGTTTTACTAGCTGTAGCTATAATATTCCCTGCAGTTTTTTGTTTTTTTTCCACAACAGCGTCATTACTATCACGAAGATGGGTTATTTGAAACTGATAGAGATCGAAAACTTCAAGTCGTATAAAGGAAGACAGATCATTGGACCGTTTCACAAGTTTACTGCAATCATCGGACCCAATGGATCTGGTATGTTATGATAGCACATATTAACTGGCGGCTAATGCAAACTTATTGCTAGCATTGGCTAACTGTAAACACGGTGCAGTCGTGCCCCGTTATCTTTAACGTTAGATATCACAACGTGTAGCTTAAATATGATTGTCTGACTTACTCGACAGCAGTTGAACTACGTTACATACCGTTATAATTATCCTACCAGCTAACGCTACCATTCTGCACTGCTTATTACAATGGCTTTTTTTGTGTCGTAATTTGTGACTTAACTTGTGTGCATAACAATTACTTTGTAGTGGTCATGATCACGTTTTCTCTTGCAAATTAGTTGCAAAAAAATTGTTTCTCATCTTTGTGAACTATATAGATTATGTAGGTGTTTACATATGATGAGGACAAACTCTTATGCCATCCAATGTCACTAACAGCTGGCTGTGAAATTAAGTTAACAGATTTGAATCAATGCTTCTCTGACAGAAAGTAAACTGACCAGAAGTGTCCCTAATAAACGTTTGTATATTTTTATGTTTTCATATTCTGTATCAGTTCCTAAAATTCTGAATACTGTTGTTGTAGGAAAGTCCAACCTTATGGATGCCATCAGCTTCGTGTTGGCAGAGAAGACCAGCAACCTGCGTGTGAAGACTCTTAAGGATCTTATCCATGGAGCACCCGTAGGAAAGCCAGCTGCCAACAGAGCTTTTGTCAGCATGGTGTACCAGGAAGATAACGGAGAGGAACGCTCCTTCACAAGGGCCATCATTGGTAGGAACCGCCATCGACAGTCATGTTGGATTGAATGCTTCAGTATCATTATTGCTATATGTGTGAAATGAAAGACATAATTGTGAAAACTATCTTCTGTCATTTGCAGCAAACAAAAAGTGTAATGTTGCATTCCATGTGTTTATAAGCCTACACGGCCAAGCACAGTACCAGTGCCAGAACTCTTTGCATATTAAAGCACCTCATGTTCAAACTATTCAATCAGAAACATCACACTAAGCTTTGCAGAACTATTTTGTGTCATTAAATTAAACTAGATAGGCATTATATTATGTGTATAATATCTTTATTTCATTGGACAAGGTAAAGGTAAAGGAAAGACCATTGCTGCCATCTTGTACGTTAATATGCTGATTTTTTTATCTCCTGTAATGTGCATGTGGCGTGCGTATCAGGTTCCTCCTCTGAGTACCGTATCAACAGCAAGGTGGTGGGCCTGCCTGAATACAGCGAAGAGCTGGAAAAACTTGGCATTCTGATCAAGGCTAGGAACTTCCTGGTCTTCCAGGTGAGACTAAAATCCTAAAAATGTTTTCTAGGATGATTTTATTCCTAAAGGTTCTTTCATAATGCTTCTGTACTAAGCCACGGGTTTTCGATCAGACAGTTATGCTTTAGTTTACATTGATCTCAAAACAGTTGATCAGTAATTGAAATTGCTTATTGCAGATGGAAATTGCACAAATAATATGTGATTATAGTAATTGATAATCCGCCCTGGTAGTGGGTTAGTTTTGTTTTCTTTAATGCCAGCACTCATGGTGGTGTGGTTAATGCAACCATGCATGATACTTTGCTGGGTATCGCAGCTTTTAATGCGACTCGACCAATTTCAGCAGAGACACACAATTTTTTTTTCTGTGCTAAATTAATATCTGGTAACATGATGTTGGCAGTTGCTATTGTTAACTGTAATTCCCGGCTTATTCTCCTTTCAGGGCGCTGTGGAGTCTATTGCCATGAAGAACCCCAAGGAGCGCACAGCTCTGTTTGAGGAGATCTCACGTTCTGGAGACCTGGCACACGAGTACGACCGCAGGAAGAAGGAAATGGTGAAAGCAGAGGAGGACACGCAGTTCAATTACCATCGTAAGAAAAACATTGCTGCTGAGCGCAAAGAAGCCAAGCAAGAGAAAGAGGAGGTATGTTCTCAAATTACATTTACCTCCATGTATTTGTGTCCAGCATGGGATTGGAAATGAAATGCTTCATATAACGTTTGGTTTGATTTAAAAGTTTATGTATGTTAGGTATTTGACTCGTTGTAAAGTTTAGTTGTTGAGATACGCTTTCAATTAGTATTACAATTTGATTACTTAGGTTGATTTGCTGTTTATTTTGTGTCGTCTGACTCGTGTTATTTGTCGCTAACTCACTGTTATTGCTCCTTATTTCAACCATGACTCTCTTGAAAAGGAGATTTTTATTCTCAGTGTTGCTTTCGTGGTGAAATCTAACGCCATTATTATACAAAAATGATATACTACATCAAAAACCATCTGTCTGCCTCTCTGCCCATCTTTCCACTAGGCTGAGCGTTACCAGCGTCTGAAAGATGAAGTGGCCAGGGCAAGTGTTCAATTGCAACTTTTCAAGTTGTACCACAATGAGACCGAGATTGAGAAGCTGAACAAAGAGCTGAGCCAGCGTAACAAGGAGATCGATAAGGACCGTAAAAAGATGGACCATGTGGAAGAGGAGCTGAAGGACAAGAAGAAGGAGCTGGGCAGACTGATGAGGGAGCAGCAGACCGTTGAAAAAGATATCAAGTAAGTGACAGTTATGTGATCACCCACTCATAGCTGGCTTGGTGTACTCCTCAGATGATGCATAGCTAATGCAACTTAAGACCTAGGGCTTTGTTAATTACTTGACGACTCTGCCCACAGAGAGAAAGACTCTGAGTTGAACCAAAAGAGACCGCAGTACATCAAGGCCAAAGAGAACACTTCTCACAAGATCAAGAAGCTCGAGGCGGCGCGCAAGTCATTGCAAAATGCCCAGAAGATGTACAAGAAACGCAAGGGGGACATGGATGAGCTGGATGACGAAATGAAGGCAGTGGAGCTGGCCAAGCAAGACTTTGAGGAGCGCATGGAGGAGGAGGCACAGAGCCAGGGCCAAGACCTCACCCTGGAGGAAAACCAGGTCTGATATGTTAGAACGTTGGACACATTTGAGGGCCCCTGGATTCATAATGTATTATGATTCAATAATGTAATATTACAAGATTTAATTTAGTTGATAGAATTGAAACACTGGAACTAATTCTTAATTTATAATAGTTAATATTTAGCAGTAAAAATATCAGACTATCATACTACCTGACTGCTATACTTCTCATAATATCTCAAAATTCATTCATGCTGGCACATGAAAATCTCATGTTTTGGTGTGTGAATTGTAACATAAATTGGTGTCAAGCTGAGCCTGAAGTTAAGATGGCTTTATATCCATCACTGCTTCTCTCCTCCCAGGTCAAGCAGTACCATCGTCTGAAAGAGGAGGCCAGTAAACGTGCGGCCACCCTGGCACAGGAGCTGGAGAAGTTCAACCGCGACCAGAAGGCCGACCAGGACCGCCTCGACTTAGAGGAGAGGAAGAAAGTGGAGACAGAGGTAAGTAGATGCTGATGGCAGCTTTGCCTGTGCCAGACTCGATGGATTTAACCGATTTGAATGCGTACAGCCATATATTTCTTTGTTTCTCTCCAGGCCAAAATCAAACAGAAGATACGTGAAATTGAAGAAAACCAGAAACGTATTGAGAAATTAGAAGATTACATTACCACCAGCAGGTATGCTGCTCTCACCTTTGTGTTTAAACAGTGCTGTGTTCAGTTTATTGATTTACTAGGTTTTTCCCATTATGCTCCTCCATTCACTGTTTTGTCCTGTTAACCTTCAGGCAGTCGCTGGATGAGCAGAAGCGCATGGAGGAGGAGCTGACCGAGGAGGTGGAGGGTGCCAAGAGGAGAATTGACGAGATCAACACGGAGCTTAACCAGGTGCTTAATACATCCACAAGGAAGGAAATGCAAATGACTTCAAATGTTGTGATCTTAGCTGACTGACAATGATTTCAGTGTGTTTCATATTTGAGTTCATGGTTGCACGCGTTACCTTGTAACAGTGTCTTAAGCAGATCAATAGAAATTTCCACAGTGAAAAACACAAATGTGATAAATATAATAAGTGATAGTTAGGTGTGCCAGTAATCCAAACTAGCGGGCAAACATGCACCGATTACTGGCACACTTAACTATCACCTAACTACCTGGCACCGACACTCCTGTTGATGATGTTATTAGTTACACCTGTGTTTGACAAGTGAAAATGTCAACTGTGAAAGAGTCTTTAACGAATCCCATT